ACAGACTTTTTATTGCAAGCACGATGTTCTCTTAATGGATTATTTTTGGATTATTTATGTTAAGAAGATGGAACCTAATTTATCAGAAACAAAAAATATTTGTGATTATATCTTGTTACATAATGAAATAAATCCATCATGTTAGGTAATCTGAGTAGGCACAAGTAAATACTTAAGGATTATCTTCTTTCCTAAATTTTAAATTTAATAGAAAAAATTGTTTCAAAATATCCCAAATATGAATAGTGGGATATTAATTTATTAGGTATATTTTGAATGTGATCTAAAACATTTTTTTTAATGATTAGTGTTATTTATACCTTGATTTTAGGAATAAAGTTCAGAAATTTATAGATATTATAGTTTACATACACTTATCACTCAAAGTAAGTATTGCACTACTGTACTACTGAATGTACTTACTGAATTAGCTACAATCAATTTTACGTCAAATAAATCTCAACAAAATATAATTGTTTTTGATTTATTTTTTACATAGAATTTTGAGTACTGTACAAAAAGTATCTAAAAGGCTTGATAGTTGTGTTTAATAACATATTAAATATTTAAACATTTAATTTAGTTAAATACAATTATTAACGATTTTTTTATTTTTTTTCTAAACGGGTTCCAAATGTCACCACAGTCAGATGTCACCATAAAATGAATAATCATAAAAGTTACGAACATCATTTATAACTGTCCTTTAAATCAATTATCACCCATTTCCCTGACCTAGATACTTGATTCTCTATTATTTAATGGTATTTTAATAAACCAAATTTATATTTAATAAATGACATACCTATCTAACAATTAGTCATTGAATTGATTATTTTAGGCAGAATTAAAGTATACTCGGATGGGCTCTATATTTTATTAAATTGATAATTTATTTACAAATTTGAAATATTATTATTTTACGTTGCATAGCATATAAATAAAGTCAAAAGATTTTTTTTAAATCTCTTACGACATAGATCGTATAGGAACCTGTTTAATTTTAAAACTTGAGTCATCAGTTATAAATTATAATATATTATCAACAATTATTTATAAATTTAAAACTTTTTACTATAGATTAAAACAATAATTGTAAAAATTAAAATATAACAATGAGTATATTCATAATATTTGATATTTTATACATTAGGCAGTCAATCCGTTAACAATACATTACCAAATTAGAGTTATTTATTGAAACAATACAATCAGGCATTAGTCAAGGATTATTAGAACTTTATATAGATTACCATACATTGTGATATAAAATGTATGATAAGAAAAAAGAACGAAATTGTTAAATTGGGGAAAGAAAAAAATCGATAAAAGTTGGAACAGAGAGAAAAAAGTAAGTTTTTAACTCATTAACAAATAAGTAAATCTTGCTAGCCGTTGGTGCTTAAACATAAATCATTTGAAAATATATCAATTTGGAAATTATGAGAACGTATTTTATATATGTCGATTAGGTTCATGGTTTTCTAGAGACTACTTTAACATGGCTAGACAATATTTCAATGGAGGACGTAAACCTAAAATATGTACCTATGCGTTATGTATATTATGTTTTATAAAATAACATAGTTTTTTTTAAATGTTATAACATTTGTGATTAGTTTTAAATTACAGTCATAATTATATTTATTCATCACATTACGGATATTTTTTAAAATACATAGTCTTTTGTATAAAAAATATTTGAAACATAATTATGAGCAAATACATAAAGTTTTTGCCATCTTGATTGGTAGTGGCCATATTAAAATTGTATTTCAAATTATATATATTATTTAATTATTAAACATTAAATTACAATCTACATAATATTATATAAATTAAAGCTGATTGAAGTTCCATAATTGAATCTACTTGGTCACTTATTTTACTTTTTTATTCTTATGTATTCAAATAAATTACATCAATAAGTTTGGATGACAGAAAAACCAAAAAAGAGATTAGATATTAAGAAATACAAAAACCAACTGAGCTCATTATTCTACAAATATAAATACACTTATTATAAAAAAAATAATAGCCAACTCAACTCCAAATAGATTCTTGTAACCTTTATTATACATATATACTATGATATTTTAAATTTAAATGCATAATATTTCTGTCATAAAATATTTAATAAACTCAGATCTTATTATTATAAAAACGATTAGTAAGTGTGTACTGTATAATTAGGTATTTATGTTAAACATGTCCATAGTTGATGTGAAATCTTAGTATATTAGTATAAGATGTAAAATCTACTAATTTAATTAATTTAAATATGTTATTAATATTTGTGAATAAAAACTAATTGTACAAGGTTTTTAGTTCTTAATACAACACATGCACGGTATTTCCACAACCAATATCTTAATAAAATTTATTTTATTTAATTATTTATTTTCAAAGCAATATAAAGGTATTATATTAGAAAAATACAAATTTTCCACTCAACCATAGTGTTCTAATTGCATATTTATATACTCTATGATTGAGTTCTGTTTTACAAGTGTAAAACGTATTATGCTACGGTAAGCAATGGAATTTAATCCTATTAGATCATAAAACATACCAATAACTATATTATTATAGTTCTGGCATACCAAAAGTATTTTTTATCAGGTAGAGTAATTTCTAAGCGACATAAAGGAAAATATATAATGTTATGAAATAAAAACTGTTAAACAATTACACATTAAAATACTATGATTATCTATACAGGTTATTGATACTACCTATATGTAATCAACTCATTAAAGAATTACGTGTCCATTAAGCAAATGACAATATTTTAATGAGTCACACATAATGAATCATGGTCAATGAAAAATATACTTTAGGTATTTTATTTTTATGTTTACCAACTGAGTTCATTTTATATTGAAGCAGCGTAATTATTATTTAAGAAATTATTCTGAAATATTAAGAGCTGTCAGTAATAGCCCAGATTATTTTGATCATTTTGTATAGATAATATATATACACATTATATAGAAATATTCGTTATTAGATTATAAATATTATACACTCGTAGATACAAATTGAAGAAAATGTAAGTATTATATTTTGAATCCAGTATAAGATTCATAACCTTAAAAAAAGATACATATTAATATACAGTTATAACTAAGAAGATTCAATTGATTTTTAAAAAAAATTGTTCATTCAAATATACAGTTGTTATAAAAAATGGAAATAATTTACTTTGGCGAATTGAATTAACCATTATATTATAAACTTTGTGTATTGCATTTTAAATGAGACACACAATGTAAGCTATAAGAATTTTAAGATTTCTTCATTGTTTTCAATTTAAAGTATTAAAGACGCACAAAAAAACTATAAAAATTGCCATAACATTTATTCTAGACAATATCTAACAATTGTTTAATAAGAAAAATAAATAAATTGACCTAGTTTGATAAAAAAATAATATATAATATATATAGGTACGTATAATACCAAAAAATAAATATAATATATTGTAGAACATAATATAATACGTCCTTGAATTGCACGATATACATGCACAGACTACAGTGAAGTTAACAATTTAACCTTTTAGCAATTAGACTAGTTGTAGTCAATCAAACACCCATGAATTTGATGTGGAGTTGTGTAAAATTCCTCACATATATATTCATGAGTTTTTAGCTAAGCAATTGACCTTTTTTATCTATAAATCGGCGAAACCAGCTAACTGAGATCACAAAATTCGACAAACTTTTTTATATTAACCCTGCTCTCGAATTTTCCTAAGTTTGAGTTCATCATTAACTATGATCATACCCACTTGTAAAAATAAAAATAATTATTTGTTCATTAATACAATATACTGAAGCAACATAATAATCCACTTTGTTAATAAAAATAGAAAACAAACATATAGTGATAGTACCTACTATTAAATAAAATATTTAGTATGTATTATGTTATGAATGGTATAAATACACTATACAGATGCTTATAGGCTATAGTCTAAAATAGTGAGATATTTCTTATTTTATTCATAAGAACACGCCTAACTAAATTATTTTTTAGGAATTATATCATCAAGCATTTTATAAACTTAAAAAATATCATTCATTAATTTAAAAAAAAAACTGTGTAATTTAGGCGATGAATGTTTTTAAAATACAGTAGGTATCATACTATATTATAGCTAGGCCCATATTTCTTTATATGCCTATGCACAAAACTATGAAGACTATTCTATTGGTGATTACTTTACATTAATTATTTATGAACTTACTAAAAAAACTAAAAAACTAACTGTATTCAAGAAAATAATATATTGATATAGATCATCGATAAAATATTCAGAATTATACTAAGATAATAAATATATAATATAAACATTTAGAACCAAAAATATTGCACACAAGAAAATTGATTTTATTTGAAAGATGAATAATTTCTGTTAGTTTATTCATAGGGGAATCATTTTGTTGTACCCAATAAATATTAATGTATGGTCTCATTAAATCGAAATAATAGAGTAAATGAAAACTGCCAGAGTAAATATTGGTTTATGCGAATTTATTGAAAGCTGGGAGAATAATATTAACCTCTTATGAAAGTTATTGATTGAAATACAAACAATTGTTGTTGCCTGTCAATATGCTAATCATGTTTTTCTAGTTTTTAAACAATACTATAATAAAACGGCTGAAAGATAAGAATAATAACAATGTTATTAAAAAGAAAGGGTTTTCGGAAGTTTTGATATAACTACGTATATAAATTATAGTAATATTTAATAGTAATTAATTTAGCTGAATTTCTACTCATCTTTTACATCATATGATACATAATAGGTGGAGTACTACTAATAGGTAAGGGTCCAATAATATGTCTACGAATATAATATTATAAAATTTAAATAATAACTCTGCATATTGTGTTGAATTGTGTTAGTAATATATTAATACAAGACTCAAATTGTCACATTTACACAACTATCGGTCGTATTAGTTCATCCCACCATGCTCGAAACTCACCTTGAGGATTTTCGTAGTAACCCCATAATGGCAATCCAATAGCCGTGGCGGCTAATGCAAAACAGGCGAACCCTAGGAATGCCACCAAGGACGAATACAGCGCTTTACTCTTGTTTGGATCAGCCATTTTACGCCAAACCACATGATGTTTCCCGACGCTTCTTCGCCAGCCTCGCACACAAAACCTCAGTCGGTGTCATTCAGCTGTCCAATTTGCTCCACGTCCATTCGTCAATTTTTTTTCCATACATATCAGCCATGTCAACTGCCTGTACATTGGCTATCATCTAAAACAATCAAATTATTGTTGATAATATGTTTTTAAGTACACATAATTCATGTTTTTCGGTTAGGTATAGACAATCTGGGAAATATTTTATTCGCTAGTTGTCGAGAATTTGTATGCCAATTATTATGGATTCGAATAATGATAAATTATTATTGTTAGTCATATAATTAAGTATTATTATCAACGTAGTACCTAGGTATCTACATTTTTCTCCGTAATTAAAAATGAAACAAAGTTGCAATCGTTACATTACAATGATCATTAAAATATTAAATAACAACAATACAATAATTTTCTAATTATAACATTATGCCTATTATTTGTCAAACATTCTCAGAGTTACCCTTCACCCGTATAAAAAAGTTGTCTCCGGTAAGTCACTCCGGTTTTATGTAGGTTTGTGTGCGGTGTAGTATAAATGTATAATATGTGCTTATACTGCTTATTATATATTGCATATGCCTACACAACATTATCGACGCTCTCTACATCACGCGATCCCCGGAACTGGTTTTCACTCTTTATTGTATGCATTTTTATTTTTATTTTTTTTTTTTTATTCAGCGTCACTATTTTCCCCTCGCCAACATGGTGCAATGTCTTCCATCAACTACCAATATCTTTTTTAGAATAGTCGCTGTAGCTGCTGTCGTTTATTAAGTAAAAAAAAATATTACAAGGAATAGCCATCGGATCGCATTATAGGCGATGGTGAAAGAGTAATAATTTACTTTAGTTCCTATCTATAATAATGTATTATATATACATGCATATATATATACCATACCTACATAATATACTCGTAAAATGCTACAATACTCAAACAGAATGTATCCCATAGCTGTGATATTAATTAAATAGGTACATCATTGCCTAGCATCATTGCCCACGGTTAATTCATTAGAAAAATATTATTTTTAAGTTTATCAGGCACTCGAATAAAAGAAAACAAATATACCATACACTGTTTTAAGTTAACGGTTACTGTAGGAAATAACTGTTTTATACACAAAACCTGTCCCATTAAAAACTATGCTTGGACGTAGGTAGTTTAATTCTGTGTATCTCACAAGGAGATTTGAAAAAAATGTTTAAACAAAATGCATGGTGTACGAATTACTTAAACATACCACGTTAAAATATTATACGATGGTTTTTATTAAAACAATATTATTACCTAGCTATCTTCATTTATGATTGCAGTATATAATTGATAATCTTATAAGAATTGCAATAAAAATAAATGATTATTGCACACATAATATAATATTATGAATAATCAACAAAACGTATACATTTTTTTTAAGCAATTAAATATAAATTAAATTTTTGATTTCATAATTTCTAAGTATAATTTTATATATCCATGTAATGTAATACTTTAAGCTATCACTACACATATTTAGTAATATAAGTTCCTAAAAAATGTAGTATGAAATTACAAAGTAACAACACCCTGTATAATGTATTGCTATAATAATAGTCAAGCGTTACAAAAAAAAATAAAATAAAATAGACGTGTGCGACGACGCGTTTGGTCTGCAGCCACTGTTGGTGAAAGTATTCTTTAATAATATGCTCGTGCGCCATTCATCAAAACAGAATCATAAAACGACCAAGACGACAAGGACAAAGACAAAATTTGAACACATGTCGTATACTTAAAAGTAAAATGTAAGAATTTCACACAAAATAGAAGATATAGAAGCTAGAGTTGACATTAATATTTAAACATAAAGGAAACATTTAAATTACAATTATAATTTAAAATGTAAACAAATATACAACTTAAGAAGATAACATCACTCATACACACATAATTTTTGTGTTAAAATGAGTGCGAAAAATTTGGTAATATTTATTTATAATAGTATGACAAAATGTCCTCGTAAATAAAAAATAACTTTATCTGTCTTGTATTTAAACATTTTTTTTAATAAAAAATTATTTAAACTAAATATTTTTTTAATAAAAAACTATATTATTAACATTATCCGCTTTTTAAGTTTAGTTAAATACAAACATTGGGTTTTAAAGTATATATAATATGACAGATAAATTGCAATCCTATATCGATTTACACTAAAATTGTGTTATTATATTAACTAATACTTGTTTCTACAAATATTACAACATTATTTGAAATTAATTTATGATAGTACCTAACATTATTATTACCTATTCCAGTTTAGAAAATGTTTTACTCGGAAAACTGTTTTAAATATAATTTAAACGAGTAAGTTAATTTACATGCTGGTTTCCGAAGACAATAAAATTGTTACTCTCTGACACATTATAGGCGCGTGCAATTATAGGGTCTAAGGTACGTTACATTTTAGTCGTTTAACCCGACGACTATAATTTATTAACCCCAGCCCACTTGCAATGACATGGTTAATTGTCTATATAGTAGGTACACCTATATTAATATAGGCGATGTTTCGTTATGTAGCATCAGAGGCTAATTAATTATTATAACCACTGTTTTATGTTTGTACTGAATAGTTTGTAACCAAATATCCAAGAAACGATTGTCTCCTATCATTAAATATCGATGACCAAATCCCAAAGGTATATTTCTTGTCATTGTGTAAAAGGACCGAACATTTATTTTTACTTTGCATACTATGACGAATTTCATGGCTTATTACACCTACGCGCAATATTGCCATATAGGTAAAATATACAGTTTGAAATATTTCCTATTGCATTGCATTGCATTATAGACCAATTATAATCATAACTATATAAGAAACAAATAATGTATTACCTAATGTATTTTATTCTATTAAATACCTGTTTACACCTCAGTCATAGTTTGCAAATAATAATAATAATAATATGCTTTATTTTTAAAAACAATAAGTGTTTAAGCCTTGGTTAATTTGAATCTCATTACATATAATATTGAGTACTTAGTATTTATTATTTATTTAATAATTTAATAATATGTAAAAATATTATGGTTTAGTTACTATTTTTTTTATTTATTTGATATTTGTAAACTTAATATTAACTATCAAATATTATAATTATAATTCAAAACAAATTAAATGTATTTACTTAATAGTTTTGATTCATGTAAAGGTACCTAACTTGATATATTTTACTCTTTAATTTTTTAAAGATACTAAATACTACTAAATAATTATATTATTGAATGTCTATGATGTATTTAATGTTTTGATGGAATTTTTCAATTAATTCAATTTACATTATAAGAGTTTATAAAAAGAAATTTGTACTGAGAAATGTATTATTAATGTATTATTAAATATATTATATAGTCTTTGTTTATAACAAAAAAATAATCCATGATTCACGAATGACCTACTATTATCTTTAAGAAATAAAGTATAAACATTGCAATTGTTGACACAGATAGCCTAATTAGGAAGTTATTTTATTATTGATTATATTTATCATTCCGAAGGAACTATTTCAATACTCAAAAATGTATTAAAATTATGTACTTAAAATATATAATATTACGAACACGTAGGACGTAGGTAATGGTATGATGTTTGATGATATTGCCTTCGTTAAAATAGTCTTTAAAGCAATTTACGAGGATGATTGTGACATTGAAATAAATCTTATAATAATTGTCCTCAATTTATAGGTTGTTAAACCCATATGCAAATTATGAACAGAACAAATATAGTTCAATCAGAGGTGAAAAAAAAATTATGTATATATATAAATTAAACACTGTTCAACCAAACATGAATGCTTCGTTGTCTACTAAGTACTAAATAGTCCACTATACTGACGAGGTCCACTTTTAAACTTCAGTGATAGTGATTAATGATTTCAGAAGCATATTTATTTGTATCTAAGATAATTGTTAGTTACAATGATTCAATACATAGTTAGTTTTAAAAAAAGACGGGCAAGTAGGAACTGTTTTGCTGTACATTAGGTGTCTTGTAGATCACTGCAATGGATATAATACATTTGAATTCAATGATATAAAATCATAATGCGAAAAACGATTCTAAACGATGACGGTCTGTCAGACGATATAACTATAAATTTGTATAATATTATTGCTAATTAAAGTAATTTATTTTACTATTAGTTTTACAGTAGGTTTTTTTTGGAAAACATTGCGTTGAGTGTATTAATTAAAATAATACCCATATTTCATATAGATTCCCATATATATATACCCACGAATAATATTTTTCAAATACAACAAAAAATTAACATTGATATTGGATAACTTACTAACTTCATGCTCCTTCGTTTAAATATCTAATTTTGTACAAATTTGAACTTAAAATATCTTGAAAAAAAAACTGTGTTTATATATTATTTTAATTTTTTGGTTACAATATGAACAATTTATGAGAAAGTGTGTTTTAAATTTTCAATTCCCAACTACAAAAATTGATCATTTTAAACATTTTTAATTAGGTACAAAATAATTTGCAAACTTTGGAGATTTTGATTCATTTTGTCTGAATTTGAAATTTAAATGATTTTTAAAAAAAATGGAACCCATATGTATCTGCTATTGTAACTGCTATTGTAATAAACTTTAAAAAAAACCTTAGGAAGAAACTTGTTTTACATTTTCAAGCTCTTGGACACATCGATAATGTTTTTATTGATATTTATAGAAAAATAAACTAAAAAAATCGAAAATTTCTTATATTCATGAATACATAAAAAAATCAAAAATTCATAGTGTATAGAAAGTGCTAATATAATATTTGTTGAAAAAATCATGTATCTACAGTTATTTGTCATTAAATTACAACAAAATAAGAGAACTGTTTTATGAAAAATCGTCAGTTTACGGGAAGTCAAAATTAATCTTATATTCAATTTTTAAATCAGAAATATAAAATAAAAATTTTTATGAACTTCTTACACGATGTTGGCGAATTTCGTCAACATTTTAACTTCGAACGGAGTTTTTGAACAATTTTTTTTAAACAATAAATTTAAAAAAAACATCTATTAAAAACCTATTATGATATAGGCCAGTGC